CCGGGCTGGGTTAAACCACCCCGAGAACGGGGCTGAGCCGCCCCCGGTGTGACTCACCGGGCGGTGATGCCCTGACTGGTTGTTCTGCCCGCCCCGAGGCTCCCGGGCGAAGCAGAGCCAGAGGCTGGGAGAGAAATCCGGGTTTATTGCAGGAGAGGCCGAGCGGAGTGGGGCCAGGCACAGCCTTCACATGGCTCTGCTGTTACAGGCTCCTTCCAGCACCTCTGGGTTGCCCCAGCCCACCCCAGGCTCTGTCCCAGCTCCATCTCATCGCTGCCCGCATGCCCCAGTCCTCCTGCCCATCCCAGTGCAGCAGGGCACCAGTTCCCATCCCTCCCTGCACAAGGCACTCAACCCTCTCAGCCCCAGGGATGCTGCATCAACCCCCTCCATGGCAGAGCAGCCCCACACTGGGACACGGGGAGCCCCAAGAGAGGTGCTGGGCAGCTGCACCCTCCCAGCAGCACCAGCACTCACCAGGCTTTCCTCTGCCTTCCCAGTGGCACCAGCACCCACACAGGACACCGCCAGCTACAGGGCACTGCTGACAAGGCAGCGAGGTGTGGGACATGGCTCAAGCCTCTTCTCACAAGACATTAAGTTACTTGGTTGTAGGAACAGGGATGGCAGAGCAGGAGGGACAGGGAATGTCTCGCAGGGCGCTTGGTTTCTGCCCCCGTGGCTGGAGGAATCACAGGGCCAACACTCCTGGAATCAGAGCATGGGGCACATGCAAGACCCCCACCCTGGCACGGGTGTCCCTCCCTATCTTCTACCAGAAGGGCCTGAAGCGCTGCAAGAAGGAAAAGCTCCCTTGTTGCAATGAGTCCTTCGGCCCAGGGCAGCGCCGAGCGGCCAGTCCTTGTGCACACCCTGAGATCGTCCCGCTGCAGCAGCAAAAGACCTTCCCCCTTCACAGTCCTGCTGCCATCCTGCCCCTCAGATCTTGGAGGACTCCACCCGCTCGATCCAGGGCGAGTCATTCCCGACATCCCTGGGCTCCGAGCGCAGCTGCCGCAGCTCCCGCTCCAGCGCCTGGCTCCGGTGGTACATCTCCATGTAGCTAGCCTGGAGCTCCCGCTGGTACCTCAGCACCTTCTCCTTCTCCTCCTGCCAGGTTTTCCTCTCCAGCTCAAAGTTCACAGCCTGCAGCTGGCCCTGACGCCGCTCCCGCAGCAGCTCTGCCCACAGCCACTCCACCTGCCGCTCCAGGGGCTCTGCCGTGTCGCTGTGGAGACCACGGCACTTGGAGTCATCAGTTTCGCAGCCAGGGAAGTCCTGGCAGGACGGCATGGGGTCATCTCCCAGTGGCAGCAAGGTGCTGGGCTCCTGGGGGCTCTGCAAGGAGTCTGCCAGCTGTGCCAGCTGCGAGTCCCTCGCCTGGACCTCCGCCTTGGCCTCCCGCAGCTGTGTCTTCAGGCTGAAGATCTCCCCCAGCTTCTGGGCCATCTCATCCTGGGTGTCGCGGAGCTGCTGCTTCAGCAGGGAGATCTCTGCTGCCTTCTGGCACACCTGCAGAGCACAGGGAGCAGTGAGGAAGGGCTGGAGGGAGCAGGTGGTGGCAGCACCCCAGGTTGTCACCACAGCATCCTTGGGAGACCCATGAGCATCGCACCTGGCCCATCCCTCCCGCCTTGTGGCCACAAGTGACACCAGAGCAGGGACCTACGACCCCCATCCCATCTCCGCAGCTAGGAGGGTGGCAACAGGGTGGGACGAAGAGGACTCACCTCCCACTTGGTCTCCTCCGCCTTGGGGCTGCCACGCTCGCCCTGGTTCTGCCGGAGCTTGGACTCCTCACACTGGCACTGCTGCAGGCTCAGCTCCTCCTGCAGCCGCTTCTTCTCCTGCTGTGCCTTGTAGAGCTGCAGCTGCAGCGCTCGCTGCCCGCGCTGCGCCTGCTGCATCACCTGCTGCAGCCGCGCCATGTACATCTGCTTCAGGTCCTCCAGCTCATCCAGCCACAGCCGCTGCTTGTCCTCAAACGCCTGCACGGGTGGATGCTGGTGAGAGCCCATAGCCACAGGGAGGCACCCCGGAAGGTCCTGTGATGTTGGGTCCTCCCATGCTTGGGCATTCCCAATCCATCATCCAACATGGCAGATTCTTCACTGCTCCTTCCACCCAGGGACTGCTGTCCCATCGCCCAGCCCTGGGACACCCAGTGCTGCCCCACAGCCCTGCCCTGGGCACCCAGTGCTGCCCCAGCCCCACATCTCACCTGTGTGAAGGGATCTTCAGTCTCACTGAGGCTCCTCTTGAGCTGCCGCAGCTCCCCTCCTGTCTCCTGTAGCCTGTCCTCCAGCTGCTTCACTGCATCCTCCAGTGAGTAGGAGAACTCGTAGGGCGGTGGAGGCTCCCCAGGGCTCTGCAGCCTGCTCAGTGTGGCCATGCTCTTGCAGGACAGGGGCACTTTCTCGGGAGCCAGGGGGTCCCTGGGGCTCCGGGAAACCCTGTCCAAGGAGCCCCCAATGTGGTTGATGTGGCCCATGGAGGCGCTGAACTGGCTCTGGGCAGGCTTGAGG